TCCGTAGCGTGGCGCTACGGACGGCGGGAAAGTAGTTCGGCTGCCCGATGACGTTTTACGTATTATAGGAGTTATTTTTACCGTTGTTTACGGATACTGCCACAATTTTTATAGGAATCATAACTATAGGAAACGGTTTTATAGGGGGATCTACTGTATATATATATATATATATATATATATCACACTAACTTTATGAAGCTTTGCAAATATTTTTAAAGTACTACAAACATTTTTGGTCCACCTTAGGACCTTCAGATATAGTTCTATTTGAGAAAACCTTTTTCAGTGTGATTCCAATGTGTTCTAATTTCCTTAGGAATTTAAAATTTAAAAGGAAAATTCGAAATAATGTGCGCCTGTGTTGGTGGCTATAACACCGGGTCATACATAGCCTGCCACACCCTCAAGAGTTGTTTTTCATCTGTAAAATTGATTGAAAGGCATTGGCATTCTGCTTTAAAAATTTCTAATGCCTCCAAATTCCTGAGTTGGTGTATATGATGCATTTGCTGGATTGTGGTCACCTGTTGTAATCTGGAAACAGAATAGAATGGAATTGCACTGAAAAAGGTTCTCTCTAATAGAACTACACTTGAAGAAGGTCCTAAGGTAAACTGAAAACGTTCGTGGTAGGTTAAAAATATTTGCAAAGCTTCATAAGGTTAGTAATTTATATATATACACTTTAAAATAAATGTAAGAACATAAATTTTGTGCATATAATAATATACCTATGAACACAATTCCCATTTCCCATGGATGGTCACAACACTGCAAGGGACGTCAATTGAATAATACATAGTAACGTAGAATCCAATAAGGACTCTTCGTGATTTTTCTTAGTTGGTTTGGGACTACAATATCCCATTTTATTTCTGTTTGCTACCCAATTATGGATGAACCTAGTCCACTATTAAGGGATGACACATAATGATAAGTGGGAGAAACTAAGATTTACCACATAGCTTTATACTGTGCTAGTGCTGTGTGTCAATAAATTCAAGTTTATAGATCAACTATGCTTTAAAATTTGTATAAATTTATTTTTGGTATTAATTTGCCTATTTTTTAAAATTGTACATTACTACATATTATTACATTACATACATTATTAAAAAGGATTACACAATTGTTTAAGATCCTAAAATAATTTTGTTTTTCGAATTTTTAGAAACTGTGTGTTCTCATTGCTCACATTTTATGACTTGATATATTACAGATTACGAGGCTGGTAGTAGCCACGTAATCCATTAATATATATTTACGAACTGACCTAACTCGGAATGGAATTAGCTAAGTTACAAATAATGTAATCTAATATTTTGAGTGAGGCAAGCACAAAAAAATTCAAGATTTTGACCCGGATTTGAACCTCATTTTGTCCGAATAGTATGCAAATACTTTAGCTATGAAATGAAAAATTTGAGTTTTATGTTATTTTCCTTCCATTTTTAAAGTAGTTTTTCCCATTTGCAATTTTATGAGTAAAAGTGCATCATTTTTTAAAACATTGAATTGTATTACCAAAATAAAAAATGTCAAGTAGACAATTGAAAATTTCTACATATTTGTACGATAAGTTCACAGGAAAGCAAATTATTTATGAGAAAATTTAGATAATTTCGAAAAATGTCCTTCCCATGCCGCACAAATGCCCTTAAACATTAACAAAGTCTATCCCTCTTTACGGTCACTCTCCCATCCAAAATTATATAAAAACACTATCTAAGATTCTTCTCTGTATCCAGATCTTTTAAAAATTGCATAACAATAAAAAATAAAACAAAGTCTTTAAAATTTACATCCAAATATACAAGACAACTCCAAAATCATTTTTTTCTGCCTTCAAAGACTATTTGGCAGTCTTTTAGGCTTTGTACCCTAGAGAGGTCGACAAAGAATCTGTACAGTTCAGTCTCTTTTGAGAAAGATAATAAAAAGACTCCAAATTATTTTTCATCTGTCTTTGAATTTTCTTAGTAGGTTTTCGCACCACAAGAATACAAGTAAAGTCCTTTTTACAGACTTTCTGACCTTTCCCGAATTTCAAGGAGGATACTTTAAGAAGACTACAAATTATTTTTGTGTACATTTTCAAATTACACGCACACAAAGTAAAACCTGTATACCAGAAGAGACTTTTAAAAGTAATTTTATATATCTTATGCAGAAAAAAATCCTGAGAAAATGTAGAGAGAGCAAAAGAAGAGACAGAGGGGCAAGAATTCACTATAGTATTAGTTAATTTTGTTTCCTCGGAGTGAGAAGGGCAAAAGACTAAAGTGCCTCAACCTAAAAAGTGCATTACATATCCTGTAAGAAGTTACTTTAGTAGTCTGTCTCCAAGAAAAACCGGCATACGTCACCTAAAAAGGTCCAGTCCAATGGAAAAAGTTGCCAGAACAAACTGCCATATGCTTGCAAATAAGCGAGTGCACGGCCATTTATTCTGTTAATTTACGTGTATATTAGAGTCCTTTCCAGTTTTCCGGCATCTTTATAAATAATTTTCCGTAATTTTCAGCAGCTAAGTCGACTTCAATGTGGTTTCGCCATATTCTCATAAAGTGAAAGCATACAGAGACTAAATTTGTATTAACTTAAAATGTAGACAACTTGAAGGCAAAGTTTTCATTCTAAATCTTTGCTTTTAATTGCTAAAATCAAAGGAAAAGTAATTTTATGTGGACAGGACATAATAAAACTTCTGGACATAATAAAACTTCTGTTTTATATAATTTATGTACATTGAGAATATAAAAATGCTAATGTTTAGAGAAGCTATTAAGGTTTTTTATAAGCTGATAAAACCAGAACAACTTTTTTTCCTGTTTAGTTTCCAGTTTCTGCTTATCATAATTGCAGTGATTAATATTTATGAGCCATTGACTTGGGATTTTACTGTAAAACGATTATCTCATAAATGTATACGCAATTTGCACGGTTAAAGAAAGAAAAATTACAACTTTTACTACAGTTTTTACTTTAAAAATAAATTAATTATAAAAAAATAAGCTAGTAATTTCTGTTGTCCGCCATGATGGAAGCGCTCGCGCCGGATGTTGCGTGCCGCCTTCGCATTTAATTACCGAAGCCGCGATAAAACTGAACTTTTTCCACTTCCGGTATTTACTTAATGAATGTAGCGATGTACGAAAAACACAAAATTTTACAAAAAGACGGAGAAAAAAGACAATAAAAACAAAACTTCCGAAATCGCTTAGGAACGCGCGTGTATGGACGCGACGCGACGCGGTCGCGCTCCCACGCAACTACAATTATCACCTTAATAATGTTAAATTAAATAAAAATAAAATTCTCGACCTTAAATATTGTTTAAGTTCAAATTCGTTTAAATTAATGTAACAGAATCGAGACCAAATAATAATTTTTGCGCAACTTACCATTGATAATGCGGATTCAAAAGCAACAAAACGGAACTGTACTTACGGAGGCGGCCATCTTTAATTAATCCAATCGATTGTAATTATTCATAAAAACGCTTCGAGTACAACATAATTTATAGAAAATTTTTTAAAAATTTAATAAATTATTAATACGTCTTTAAATCATACTATCAATACATTATTTAAAAAAAAATATATTTAACTACGCAGATTGTGCCTCCGCCATTTTAAAATATTCCTCCAGTATACTTCGTGACGATTTTTCTTATTATTAATCAATTTTCATTTAATTTATAATGCATAATATAAGTTTTAATATAAACAGTGCACATAAAATAAATTATTATTATAATATATTATTAATAACTATAAATAAATAAAATTGTCTGTGGCTTCATCTGTTAGGAGATTTTGCTATAAAACATATCTATATTTTTAATTATTATAAAATGGCAAAGGACAGATCAACAAGTGTTTCTGCTGCCATCTACTGACTACCATCCTATTTAAAATGAAAGATAATTAACTTTGAAACTCACTTCGCATCGTTCCCTCCTAGTGGCATCATGGCTCCAGTAGTGGGTTATTGGAATCTTCGAGGATTGGCCGAATCGATTCGTTACTTGTTACATTACACGGGAACGGAATTCGAAGACAAGAGGTACCATTTTGGCCCTCCACCCGAATACGATCGATCAGAATGGCTACGAGAGAAGTTCAGTTTGGACCTGGATTTTCCGAATTTGCCATATTACATCGACGGCGAAGTCAAATTAACTCAGAGTATCGCAATTCTCAGATATTTGGGAAAGAAACACGGGCTAGTCGTCAGGAGCGAGAGCGAAGTACTGATGCAGGATATGGTGGAGCAACAAGCGATTGATCTTCTCACCCATTTCTTTAATTTGATATGTTTTAAATTCGAAGAAAGGAAAGAGGAATACCTGAAAAATCTTCCGGATCAACTGAAACTATTCTCTAAATATCTGGATAACAAAGAATGGATGATTGGGAATAAACTGACTTACGTCGATTTCCTTTTGTACGATGTTCTGGATTTTCATCGTCTATTGAAGGATGATTGTTTGGAAGCTTTTCCTAATTTGAAGGAATACCTCAAACGATTCGAAAGTCTTCCGGGTGTATCCAAATACATGAAATCCAAGAATTACGTCAAGTGGCCCATAGTTGGACCTTTAGCTTCTTTCGGTAGTAAATAAAAAAAAAACATTGTTTTCTAATATTTTTTATAAGAAGATACGGCAATCGACGTTTCGTCATGAATCATCTAAGCCCGTTTCGCTTTGTAAGAATCTAAATAAAAAAAAAAACATTTAGCTTACCTTCCATAGACATCTTTTCTTGCTTAGTTGTAGAGAGAGAGAGAGAGAGTTGATAAACTAATGAATCTATTTGTCTATTTCTCTCGCTTTTATATTCTTTTNGTAAATAAAAAAAAAACATTGTTTTCTAATATTTTTTATAATGAATAAATTTTTGAATATTTGATAATAATAATGGAGTAAGTTTTAAAAAATTTATATGTCATTTTACATGCTAATCACACCCTTAAGTACGATGAAACGATTAAAATCTTGCGTTAACAAATAAGAAACGAAGTTTTATTTTTAAAATATTTAACCGACCCCCATTATTTCGACCTTTAACCTCCGAAATTTAATAGCATCGATTCTCTTAATAATCTTCAGTAAATGTTGTGTCATATTTTCTGTTAGGAAAGAGACGCCCATTTGTATCTTATCGTCCAGACAAATTATCTGTTGATTAAGAAAGAACAATAAGATGATGAACTTTTCCATATCTCTGCACTAGATTATCTGCAGAGATTCCTAATTTTCTTCGAATTAAACTTCGTATGTTTGATATAAAAGAAATTATACAATTACAACCTTGACTCGGGTATCAGTGGCACGAGACCCAGGCAAATTTGAATTACGAGGTCCCGTGTAGTGTTGACTTCGGACGTATTTTTTGGGGAGATCTCTCGGTATCCTCGTTCGTTTTTTAATGCCACCTCTGGATGGTTAACAGGCCGGCGAGATCGCGATTGAAGACTTCGTGACGCCATGTTACCGGAGGTGGTTCCTTACTGCGAGACACAAAGACGCAAGTATTATTGGTATCACCTTATTAATTATATTATCTGATAATGATAAATGTTTTCAAATGATATGAGTCGATATCAATTATCAGGAAATGATATTTAATGAAAACAATGGCAAGTAATCAGCCATCATTTACTTTATTCAAGAGAATCATTTACTAGTGAAAATGATTTTGAAATATTTTTCAAAATTTTAGAGTCTGAACACGTGGTATCAGTTGACATTGAACGATATTGTGTGAAACTTGACTTAAATTGATGACTAAAACACTACAAATGTACTACTTTTTCCTTAAAAAAAAAAGGTTAAAGAACATATAAAACATTCATTTACTCGTGTAATTGTAGCTGTAGCCTTTGATTTATTATTTCAGACGAAATCCGAGCAAATTGTCGCCATCTTAAGCGCAAAATGATAGAAAACCTCCGGTAAGATGGCAGACAAATTGCATCGGAGGAGGGGACCCGAAACAGAGCCATCACTCTATATTTTTAATAATTTTTGCAAGTAACTTTGACAATAATTAAACTACTTGTTGAACTTCGTAACGATCCGCCATTTTTCAATTTTGCAGATATGTTACTTATATAATTATTATTGTGTATAATAAACCCTCTGGGGTTTTTGCAAATCTCGACGTTTTGAGATCCACTGAACCTTGAAAACTAAAAACTTCCCAAAAAAACACAGGAAAAGAATTTCCTGTGTTTGTTTGTGTTGGCGTCTATTCCATTTAAATTCCCAGGATAGGTTAGAGATTAAGAAATGAAATTTGCCATGGTAAATTACATGTAAGGGGGCTTCGATTCCATTAAATTTTGGAATACGGAACTTGAGGGAAGATGAGACAGAGGGAGTTGTGGGACGAATCTCGAGTGGGGTTGGACTTAATGAAATTTTTACAGATTATTGGCATTTACAATATTTTTAAAAACACGTTTCTACCTTCCAAATTAACCCTTCTCATATGTAAAAATTGCACCATTGAAATGTCTACAAATTGTGCACTATATGCATCATTCCGGATAACAAAAGTATATAAACACGAACTAACCTTTTGTTTGTTATGTTGTAGAAAACAATCTTAGACACCGAAGCTTGAAAAGGGATTGGAAAGTTACCAATCCGAAATGCATTGTTAAATAGGCGAAATAAAGTGAATTGTTTTAATCTTGGTCTCTGTTAATTGCGGATAATTAAAACTCTTCATTTCCTTTACACGCTTTCACAAGAGTTAGAATATTTTAGCTCCTTGCCTTTACAGAACACAAATGGCAAAACCCCCTGACTAAAAAGAAAATGGCGGATGTGTATTCAATTTTCTTTAAACTTTAGCCACTCTATGTAGTATATTTTAGTTCGTTGGTGCAACTCCGAAAGCACATCTAGTGAACATTTTGGGGATTTTTTTTAAACAAGCGGAGGTCAGTCGGTATGACTTCTTTTGGCTAAAACTGTTTACAGTATTTAGCGGCAAGCTACTGAAGAAAAATACTAATTCTTCTAGAATTTATTTATACATTTTAAAAAAAGGACCCGAAAAGATCTCAAGCCCAAGATTCCCGGAAAGTTACATCCCTCCTGGATAGAAGATTAGCCAGAGTGCGGATATCTGAGAATGCGCAGGCTCAAAGGCAATGAATGACGGTATTTTTTTGGAGGTAAGACAAATAAACGTTAAGGAAATCCTTGAAGGAATAATTGCGCAGGCCTGGCCTTGAGGAATTCCTGTTAGTGCGTGGGGGAAAACTGTACAGTTTCGGTGTTCTGTACAGGCCGCCTGAGTACAAACGAAAAGCCATTTGATTTTTCTGCACAGTTTTGGACTGCGCAGGCCGACCGTAACGTGTGACGTCGTTTCCGTTCAGTTGTGAGGCCGCTGAATTAGAACAATCGTCCCGTGAATGTTTAGAAAAATTTTTAAAGATTTACGAAAGTGAATCATGCCTTTGGAATGTTAAAAGCAAAGATTATCATGACAAAAGCAAAAAAGAAGTTGCCTATTTACGTTTAATTGAAAAATTGAAGGACATTGAGCCAAATAATAACAAAGAAAGTGGTGTAAAAAATTAATATCACAAGTGCATATAGGAAGGAAATTAAGAAAATCAAAGCATCAATCAAGTCAGGATCAGGAACTGATGAAGTATATGAACCAAATGTCGGAAGGATCAACAGGTCCGAAACACAATTATATTGTGTAAAATGTGTACAGGTGAAAAATAAAGACTTTTTCTGATTATGTTTCTTAAATTTGCAGAACCAGGTCATCGGTATAAAAAGCCCTATTAATAAAATAAGTTTTAGTAGACATTTGGTTCATATACTTCATCAGCTCCTGATCCGAACTTCGGCTGCAACCTCGTTAATAACACACCCGGAAAACCTTTTAAAGATGAACGTCGAAAGATGGCATTTGTGTTATGAATTATCTACCTTCTAAACGTAACTTCTGTAGCTGTGAAGTCGTTGCCAATGGCGCCAAGATATCGCCACATGGTTTGTTTACAGGTTTAGAAACGTAAACAAAACCACGTATTCGCCATTTCTTACGTATATTATTAGTTTTTACGTAGAACTCGGAGCGGAAATGAATGCTTGACAATACGCCATCTTTCACCTCTTCAGAATCCAAAATGAAATTATATAATTTAACAAATTAAATATTTTTATTTTTTATTTCAAAATATTCACTTTGAAACAAACTGTACAAAAATCTATCCAAAAATTAGGCTTTTGCCAGCGTAAACGCGATGAGTAGATGTTGAAAACTAAATTAATGATGTCCCCAGTGGTGACCTCCGTATCCTCCATGACCGTGGCCGTGTCCTCCGCCACCACCACCACCTCCGTGATGGCCTCCGTATCCTCCGTGACCGTGGCCGTGTCCTCCGCCACCGCCACCGCCTCCATGATGGCCTCCGTAGCCTCCGTGACCGTGGCCGTGTCCTCCGCCACCACCACCACCTCCATGATGACCTCCGTAGCCTCCGTGACCGTGGCCGTGTCCTCCGCCACCACCACCACCTCCATGATGACCTCCGTAGCCTCCGTGACCGTGGCCGTGTCCTCCGCCACCACCACCACCTCCATGATGACCTCCGTAGCCTCCGTGATCGTGGCCGTGTCCTCCGCCACCACCACCACCCCCGTGATGGCCTCCGTATCCTCCGTGACCGTGGCCGTGTCCTCCGCCACCACCTCCACCGTATCCTCCGTGGCCGTGGCCGTGTCCTCCGCCACCACCTCCACCTCCATGATGACCTCCGTATCCTTTGTGGCCGTGTCCTCCTCCGCCTCCGCCACCTCCGTGATGACCGTGGCCGTGTCCACCACCGCCACCACCTCCGTGTCCGTGTCCTCCTCCCCCTCCTCCTCCATGATGCCACCACGATTCCACCGATGGTATCGCCAAATAGACGATCACCAACGATGCCAAGCACACAGCGAATCTCTACAAATCAAAATAAACGCATGCAAACAAAACAATTTACAAAAGGTACACACATACAAAAGAATCGTCTTCACTTACCATTTTGCTCCTTTCCTGATATTATACAGAGATCCCAAACGTTCCATTGCTTATATACAATTCACAGGAGCCACACGTCATCGCTGGTAACACATGGAGATCAACACCTAGCACCAAAATATTTTACAATCGATAAACAAAAGCGTTAAGTATGCGATAACCTCTTTAACATGGTAATTTATCAAGAAGGGGGTGGTGTCGTGAAGATATTTTATTACGTTTTTCGAATGAAAGGAAGCGAAATTTCCTAAAAAAACAAAAATAGAGAAAGCGTACGGAAAGGTACACGATGGGTGAATGCTTCTAAAAGGGTTATTGACCCTTTATAGAATGCCGCCTTATCATGGCCACTAGATAATAAACGTCACGCATGATTGAAGTGATGTATTCGTCCTGTCCGAAAAGAAGGAAAAATTAATTCTCTCCTGTCTTTTTTTTTCTAATGACGGGTGTTTTTGTTGCGTGTTACTTAATTTAAATCGTTATAAAAATTTGGATAACAATACTAGAGTGTGTCCAGGTAAATTTGTATAATTAAATATAGAAAGAGGATAGTTGCCACTCTAATTAACATAGTTTACTGTTTAGTCACTAACTCTGATAGTGCAATAGATTAGTGTTCTTTACAGTATTATTACGTGGTTATCTTCGATATGACGTGTACTTCTGTTGATTAATGTATATAAAATTGACACAAAACATTTATTTTGGGCGAATATTTATGTAGACGTATTATACTACAGTATTTATTCTATTTATATAAATGGTATATTCATTTTACTCTTTTCTATACTTTTCTATATTGTTATCACAACAGTAGTCACACACTGAAGTAGTCTTTTTCTGTAATTAAACAGCTTTGAAATAGCTATTCGGCTGTAATAGCTAATCTGAAATAGCTATTTACCTTACAAACAGAAGGCACTATTATTGCGACGATTGGAGCTCGAACCCGGATCCTCACGTCAGCAAATCGATCTTTTGAGACTGAATTCGAACTTCAACGCACAACAATGTTCAGAACTTGTTCTGCCTTCCCAATTCTACAAATGACCGCTCGAAATGAGTCGAAATTGAATTTCATACGTTAATTTTATTCAATGTTCTATTTTGAAAACGCCAAAATGGAGGAATCTAACATTTAAAGCGTCTTAATTAACAGTTTTCTTTAAAGAAGAGCGGAAGTCCTATAACAGCGATATTAATTAAAAAATTTGTGACATAATAGCGAGGTTGAGGCCGAAGTTTTAAACGCAAAAACGTATAGGTCGGACGTTCGGCGCCGCTTTCCCGTAAGCCTAGAAGTTCGACGATGGCGTTTGATAGTAGGTGGAATCACGCTCGACGTTCCATACACTATTGTCGAACTTCTAGGCTTACGGGAAAGCGGCGCCGAACGTCCGACCTACACGTTTCTGCGTTTAAAACTTCGGCCTCAACCTCGCTATTATCCGGGAAAGTAAAACTACTTTAATAATGAAAACTTGCAGATCAACAAAGAATAGTTTAAACTTTCTATGCATCCCGATCTTATAAATTAAATCGAATTTTAAAATAATCTGTGACGGTTTTATATCTCTTAAGTAGTTAGTATACATGACTGTCATCAGATGTCGCCACTTTTTCATTAATTTTTCTCAAAATATTTACTTAAATTTTATAAATATACGTCCGCCATTTTCCTTTTAGTCAAAGGGCGTGTCATTTGCGTTAAGTAGAGACAACGAGCTAGAATATTCTAACCCGTTGAGCAAAAATGTATAAAGGAAAAGAAAAGTTTAATTAACTAACACGGTACGAGTCAAAATGACCCTACTTAATTAACGTGTATATAAGGAGCATTGATGCTATTACATTTTGGTGGTTAAAGGTCATGTATCATATCTCAAGAGTGGTCGAACTTAATGAAGATGTTATTTGTTATTAACATTTACAATATTTTTTATAAAACTCATCACTACCCTCAAAAGTAAGCTTGTCGCCATTCGATAATAATTAAAAATATAAAACGTTATAAATAAAGGTTTATTCTTCCAATAGTGAGACTAGTGGTATTTATCAGGTCTTTCTAATTATCCGCAATTATCGAGACCAAGATTATAACAGTTCACTTTATTTCGCCTATTTAACGATGCATTTCGGATTGGAACCTTTCCAATCCCTTTTCAGGCTTCGGTGTCTAAGATTGTTCTCTACAACATAACGAACAAAAGGTTAGTTCCTGTTTTTATACTTTTGTTATCCACAATGATGCATATAGTGCACAGTTTGTACACATTCCAATGGTGCAATTTCTACATACCAGTCTCTTGTACTCTCTGGCATGTTTTCTTTGTCTATTTTTGATGGGCAAGTGCAACGCTTCTTTCATTTCCCACAATTATATTACCTCTTATAAGGATTTTAAATTCGACAATGTGCTTCATAAGATGACGAAGGTCAAAATGTAGTTTTTATTTAAATATTTTCACAAGTTGAAGCCAAAATTTTCACAAACGATAATAAAAATACAGCACTGTTTGAAAAAAAATCAGCAACGTACTGAGTATGGTACGGATCAGACTGACCTGAATACCCTATAAATAATCATATGGCTGAGAGTAAAGCCCTTCGAGACCCAATTCGTACTTAGATTATAAAATTATTGTTATATTATCTTACCTTCTATATAATAATTAAATAAAATCTAGAAAATAGCTAAATTCGAGATGAAACAATCTAGATTTATATCATTGATCTAATAACCTAACTCTGGAATCTAGGGGCAAACAAAACAATCTAGATATAGATGAGATTTTAATAGTGACAATCCTGCTCAACACGTGGTATAGATTTCGACGTTTTGACGTGACTTAAAGTAAAATGGCGATCGATAGTACCTGTCGTTGCCACCAAGAGCGCTGTATCTAAGGTCACAGCCATTCTATGTAGTTTAATCTAGCTCGTTGAGTTGCACGTTTTAAAATCGCAGGCCTTTTTTACTCGTTATTATCATTTATTATTACTGTAAAAATTTACTCCTAACCCCCAAAATAAACCTTTTGACTTTTTATAACTTAATTAATAATATAATAACTAATTTTTAATAAAATCTCTCAACAGATGGCGCTACACTAAATTCGTAAATTATCAGTGCCGGGAAAGTAATACAAACCAATGACATAATCCGTTTCGTTTGAAACGAGTTACTCCATTGGTTGTCTCATCCGGCTGTATTAAAGCCTCTTTACCAGGCAACTTTCTCCAAACTTCTTGAAGATTGCGCAGTGCTTAGAAAATATTCTCTTAAAATAAAAATTATTTAATATCAAATAACATAAAAATTGCTTACCAGACCCGCACTGCTTATTGTTATTAAATTTAACTAGCAATTTCAACTCAACTAAGATAGGAACATGCGCAACAATGACGCGACCCAAGGACTATAAACTACAAGGATAGCCAGATCCCGTATATTTGTTAGCATGACCTTGGATCTATGTGACGTCACAGCAAGTCCTCTACTTCAACATGACAGACCTTTCAAATAACAAAATACGATAAAATATTAAATCATTTCTTAATTAATTATTAAATTACTACTAAATGTAAACTACTGTAGAATTTTCGGATTTAATAAGTGTACTGTACGTCAATAAATTTACAAGTCTTTTGTCTAATATTTATTTAACAAATTAATGAGCTATATTTTTTAATATGTGATTATCTTACTTAACTTTTTAATTTTTTTTCGACAATCACCATTTTCAGAAGGCATTCTTTTCAATATTTTATAGTTTTCTTGTTTAAGATTTCTATAATTAATTCTTATTATAGTTCTTAATTTACAAAAATCTTTTATTAAAGTAAAAGGTAAAACTGTTTCCACTGACTAATTCTGTACAACTCCGGGGCCTTTTTTATACGATTCATCGTGATATATTTCGAAATATTTATTCCATTCTATAATTTTTGCTAGCCATTCATCAGTAGGTTTAATAAGCCCTCCATAAGATAAATGTTGCACCCATGACGGAATGCTATAGTTGTAATGATTTTTAATTTTGTTAGTGGAATTAATTAAGTTTGGGTATTTTTCTTTATATTTATAGGCAAAATATCCTGCTATATACTCGAGAGCATCGTAGGAAGTTTCTTCAGAGATTGTGTTAAAGTCTAGATTGCATGTAGAGTTTCCTGAAGATTTATTTGAAGAAAAAGTAGTTTTACATTCAGTATATTGGTCTGTATTTTCACTTGATACTTCTACATGTGCTTTCTCTAAAACTTTGGGTATAATATATTCCTCTTGTCTTCGATCTGTAGTATTTACTTTTGACTCTAAAATACCAGGATTCTTACCTAAAATAATCAATCTAATCCTATATATAGCATTTAATGGGCTTGGATGTTCATTAGGACCCCGGCTTCTATTTTAAAAAAAAAAGTTTTCCAGACAATCTTGATTTAAATTGTGAGTGCAGATGTATTTTATATCAAAAGTCGATTTCATATCTTGAAAAAGATCAATTAGCGATTTCATTGAGATTATCATTCCTTTCTGGAAAATTTGGAGGGCATTTTTTCCACTTGCTCTCATTGTTGAGATTATTTTTATCATTTTATTTAAATGTTCTTCTTGTAATTCCAAGTCTACACCATATCCATTTTTGCTTGGAACAGAACCTTTTGGTGCATAGCTATTAAAAATGTCGAACCACATATTTATATCTCTAATATACGTTTCATTGATAATAATAATTGATTCATAATAAACGTTTCATTGATATTCACATTCAATTCTTTCCATAAACTTATGTTACTGCAACTACAGTCACTGACGCAAGCTACTACATTATACGATAGTAAATAAAGTTCTGCTATTAATTTTAAAAGTATTTCTCTTGTCATTTTTTGATCAAACCCGATGTAAACAGGTTGCTTCCAATTTGAAAAAAGAAGGTTATTATTGCAACCATACACAGCACACCTAGTACTCAGCATTTTGTTCTTCACCTAACATA